AAATATATATATATAAATATATATATATATATATATATATGCACCAGTTTTGTATATTCTAATGCAAAAATGTGATGATATTGCCACATTGTTTGTACATGGCCGATTGCTTAATAATAAAAAAAATAAAAATAAATACAAAATTTAAAAAAAGGCCTCCCTGAGCTTCCCACTGCCCTGTATCTTGCTCTCTCATTGGCTGTAGGTCAACACCAATGTATTTTTCAGTCAGAACTCATTTCACACAGCAGGATTCTGAATCGCCGACAGGTCCAGATTATTTAGCATGCCAAATATTTCACAGGCATCGGCGAAATATTTTGCCTCCGATTTCAAAAATTTGTCTGCGATTTCGCAAAACCTGTCGGCGAGTGAATATCAGGGCTAAAATCGTGCAGTGTGAACTTGGCATAAGGTGGCATATTCTGGAGATTAGGGCAGTGTGTCAACTCTGCTACAATGGTAAGGCAAATATACTCCTGGATCAACCCCCTTCCCCCCGATTGGAGCGCAGATTGGTCTCACCCAATACGTGCACAGATGCAAGACATGAGCTTGCAATGTAAACAAAAAGGGATGTGGCGATTGTTCAATGAAACCATGCAGTGTTTGAAATAAAGCAACATTCATAATCATAAACATGCAGATGCAGCTTCAAGCCCAGAATAGATATATGAATAAAGTGTGCATAGTTATGCGAGCAGCACAGGATGAATAAGAAATACAAAGCGAGGTGGTTGCTAAGCAAGAGCAGGGCTGGGTTGAACTATGGAAGTGATGCTGGATCCGTCAGCCAGGCAGCATTGCTCATTCTTCGGCATTGCAAGCGGATTAGTGGATCTTGTTATTACTTACCCAACATCTGACTGAAGAGAAGCTGCTCCAGGTCCCCAAGTACCGTTACAACCAGTTCAGGGTCCACCTTTAGGAAGGTCTTGTCCCCTTCCTCTGGTTCTGGTGCATCTTTGCCCCCTCTGCCCCCTCCTGGGGTGGCTGCCCCTGAGGTACCACTTAAAGTTTTCTTGCCATTAGCTTTAGCCTTGCTGGACAAGATCTCATCATCTGACTTGCCGTCATCTGCCAGCTCTTGAGCCTTGCTGATGGGTTTGACCTCAGCGTAAGGACCCTTTGGTATCCGACTGGGTTTGCCCAGTTTGGAAGGTGGGCTAAAGGGTTTTGGCTTTCCCTGAAACAGTGAATGCTCTGACTTGGAAAGGTTCTTGGAAAGTGGGATACTCTTGCCTGTACCCACTCCGGCATCTTTGAGCTTGCCGGACTTGTTCTGACCTGCCCCTGGCTTTTCGATGTCATCCGACCACTTGGGCTGGTACAGGTGCATCTTCTTCTCGGCGTCCGTAAGCACACATAAATTGGTCAAGGACTTTTGCTTGCGCAGGTTACTAGGCACTGGAAGACGACCCTCCGAGTTTCCCGCTCGGTAGACCTTTAGCTCAGCCCGAGGAGTAGCCTGTGGGAGCCCTGACTTGCCCCTTTTCGCAGTGAATTTGCATACCACTGGTCAGTCAGTTATTTTTGTGACAATTTGTTTCCAAGACCTTACTGAAGACCACCAAAGCATTTAAAAAATAAACTACTTTTCCACCATATTTTCTGAAGAAATTTCTACCAAAATGGTCTGCTCTATAGGGACAATAAAGATACCCACTACTAAAAACAATTTTCCAGCACAAGACTGCACTAGAAGCTTTACGGAATCATTTCATAAAATGTATTTGATAATAAAAGTAGCTATCATTGTTACCTAAACTCTCTAAAGCTCACAACATATGGAAGCAATATCACAAGGAAAGGAAACAAAAACAATGCTTTATGAGGTGATAATATTATGCTGTCTAAAATTTCCATAACACTCGGTTTTAAATAAATTTATGTTTACAGTTTCTCAGTTGTTAAACCTTTCTTAAAAAGGAAAAAGTATTTTTGAGTATGACTCAGTCCAAGGGCCAAGCTTTCCAAACAAAGCCACAGAGACCAGAGGAACTAGGAGGAAATCCTCTTTACAAGCCAGACTAAAGCTGGACCATAGATTCATGGCTTCTAATGCACTGGCTACCTACTCATGTGTTCTCATACGGCCGTGTGTCATTGAGGAGAACTCCTGTAATATCCTACACGTACTACTACTCCCTCACATCATTTCATGTCTGTAAGAGATGACTATGATAGGAAATAGCACCATTTCTCTCTACTCTCCCACTCAGCAGAGTAAAGTATTAACTGATCATGCCATGGATCTGCTATCTGTTTTCAAATAAACTACGATGTTCTACTGAATTCAAAAGTACAGGATGACCTTAGAGGAAAACACTCCCGCAGGCTGTCAGGCAATGTTCTGAGCCAGAAACCAGTTCCCTTTCCAAGATATGAAGACAATTCTTCTTAAGACAGCTGCAATAAAATCATATAATTGTAGACTTGTATGTAAATATATATTATGGATTATTAAAGAAGCCTTTGTGTGTACTTATGTCACTCTTATAAAGTAGCATAAATTGGAAGTGATGTTAATGGCTAATCATATCCGTCACTGAAGCGTTCTTTATCTTGCTTTAGCAAACAGAGGAAATTCCCATCCGTGCATGTGAGTCCTAATGAATAATCTGTCTCTTTACTTTGTTTGTTTAGCCACATTTTGTAAGACTAGGAAGCATCACTGTAGCGTTTTTATCTGATCAACCTGATATAACATCTCCTGATGGACCCTTTTAACAAATTACCGCTGTGATTACTAGTGAATGATTTAAAAGGATGGCAGAACTCTTGTTATCAGACTTGGTGCAATTTAAAAGCATTAATGATCTATAAGAGGTCTGGATTGAAATGTCTTTGTTTCTGCAGGCCAGTGAAGTGAAGTATGCAGCAAAAAGGAAAAAGCTAGTCTATAAGTATGCAGGATAGAGAGACCCACCCAGAAGACCATAGCAATGTGCTAAAATCACTCAGAACACATTAGCAATCACACAGCCAGTGATGTTATTGTCAACATAAACTATTTTCATTTAAAACAAAGCTGAATAATATAACATAAATGTCTAATATAAATATTAGAAGAAAAACGTAAATGAAAAAAAAAATGTAAATGAAAATCTTGCCTTGCCAACTAGACTGCAAAAAAATGTTTTTTTTTTTAAAGCCGTACATAAAACAGATTATTGGAGTATGTTTTACAAGAACATACTATATCAGTCTTTCTGCTTAATTTTATGTTTAATTCAGTGTTACTTGTTTCTTTGTAATTATATGTTACATTTATAAGTCATTTCTTACACCTATTTTTTAGTTTAATGTAGTTTAATTTATTACACCTATTTTTTGTTCTAACAAAAAAAAAAAAAAAAAAAAGTTTATGCTGAAGTACTAAAAAACAAAAACTAATAAAAATGGCAAACGCACATCAAAAAATGATCAAATGTAAACAAATTGAAATGAAAACTCAAAATTTAAAAATAGCGGATTCAAAACATAAATACATACTATAATAGTAAATAAATAATACTAAAATAACTCTGCACAAAGCAATGCTCTGATACCAGAACACCCTAGACACAAAATAGTGCTTTAGTAACCACATAGCAACACCCTAGAAACCACACACAACACCCTAGCCAACATACTAATAAAACAAATAAATACAAATAAAAATATTAATTACAAAGCAACACTCTGGCAACCACCCTCAACACTCTACACTCTTAAAAATAAAATTTATTTTAAAGGGTTTTCACAGTGATGTCATAGAAGAACCATGCTGGTTCCCCAAAGAACCTTTCATTGATCTCTTCTTAAAATAACAGTTTTTTTATCATAGTGTAAAGAACATTTTAATGATCTAAAGAACCTTTTTTCCACTATAAAGAACCTTTTGTGGATTGGATGCTAAAGGTTCTTCATGGAACCATCGATGCCAATAAAGAACTTTCATTTTTAATAGTCTAGCAACCACCTAAAAAAAAACTAAAAAAACCTGAGAATGCCTTAGTAAGTACATTGAAACAGCCTTCAATCACTTTTGCATTTTTAAAATCACATTTGCAATGGCAAACACCATATTTTTTTTCAGAAAACACAAAAACCTAGCTAGCGTGACAAGTGTCCATGTCAAATTGAGAGACACAGCACACATGTGACACTACTATTACACTTGTCCCTCCTGGCATCAGGGCAATTAGCATTTATAGTGGCTTTACCTTGAGGTAAAAGCTTCCCAAGAGCACCTGTTTTTCTATGCCCAGTCTCACGTCTCATCCACTGGAAACATTATGATTCTATTTGAAGAAATGAATGTTCCTCTTTCTTTGTACAAGCAGTCCACGTCAGGGTTTATGAGGTGCACTGAACTTTTCACAGAGCATCTAAGCTTTGAAACGGGTTCAAAACTATACTTTTCAGGAAGAAGAACCCGCATTAAAACAGTGAGCGATTTGTGTGCCAAAACAAACGATTAACAAGCAACAGGGATGATTTCCTTCAATCTGATTTTGGATGCTTCTGGATAAACGTGCTAACAGGCTTTGCTGGCATAAGTTCATCACTACGTACTGTATGTATTTGTATTGTATTTTTGCCTCCCTCTCCTCGCCATAAGCGAAATAATAATTCGGCCTTGATCTCTGCAATCTGTCAAAAACCTGTAAGCATAAACGCTAAAGATTTTCTCCCAATTAATTGCCATAAACCAGATCTGGCAGCTTTTGTTCTTCTATCCTGGAAGCATTAATAAAAGCTGCCATAAGCATTTAGACAATCTGCTCCTGAACACAGGGATTACACTTCATATAGACGGGTCACACAATATGTGACTATATGGTCATGCTTATGGACTGACATAAAATCGAATGTTCAAAATAGATTTTGCATTTGTATTATTATAGAAGATGAAATCCAACATCAGCACCACAACCTTGCACTCAACCTAATTCTTTTGTTAAAGGTCCACTAAGTATATTACTTGATAATCCATACATTATTTTTTTTTTTGAAAAATCATGTTAAAACGCGAGTATCAATTATGATCCATCAGGCTTTTGAGGAACGTTTTTTGTTCACCTCTCAATCATCATTATAATGCATTGCATTAATAAAAACGACAGAGACTAAAACTAATCATTTAAATATCATTCATGTTATTAGAAGATATAGAGTGACAACTGATATTTATATGCATTTTATGTTTATATCTGTTATACTGTTATAAAGATCTCATTCATTTAAATTACAAGCGATTAGAATTCCATCATACTTTTTACCATATAAATATGTCTCTGCACCAAATTGTATATTTTTGCTCAGTTTGTAGCATGCTACTGTACATTGTTGTCACATAACAGGATGTGACCTTTGGGTTCATTCATCACATGGAGGACATGTTGAGTGCACAGAATTGTGGGATACAGTAAAAGTATTCAATGCATACCAAAAATGTCATTCTTTGCATAGTATGCATACTATTTACTAGTATGTGTAATATGAAATTGTATGTGTCAGATGCTACACTAATACATGCTAGTGTATGAGATGTGGTGTTAAAAATTGTTTCCAAACTAGTTTTTCATTACACCTGAAGTATCAACATAGAATCAATCTAATTAGCTAATTAAGCTAAGCACATTTAAAATTAAGTTAAATGAAAAGATTGTGTCGACACTTGTAATATTGTATTATTGTTTAAACATTTTGAAACTTTTTTTGAAGAAAAATTTATAACAAATGTTAAATAATATAGTGAATTTTCTGTGTAATAATTTATATGGCAATAGTAAATAATACAATTATTATTATTTTATTTTTTTTGTAAAATCTTTCTTGCAAAAACATTTTGTCAGATGCTATTAGCTTCTACTTTTGAAAGGTCAAAAAAAAAAAAAACTTTTGAAAGGTCATGAATTAAGAAACATGCTTTTTGCAGCCATATTGTGTAGTTTTAGCATCACATGTAAACTGGTAACCAGAAGAAAAACCTGGCCTGCTAATTCCGAACATAACCATGTTTACATATTGCCCGCTCTTATACAGTACAGCAGCCTTTTTGAAAACCTGGAAACAATTTAGCATTTAGCACTTCTAGTGCCATCATCCCAAAGTCAATGGGTTTTTTAAATAGCTATTTGGTCAAGATATTTTTGTTTTTTTTCCAACAACATTAAATACATCAGTAATAGCCACTTGTGTGTATGTTTTTTTAAACTTTTGCTTGTCTTGAAAAAAATGGCTAAATGGGACTCCATTAAAAATCATCAGACTCTCTGCTGCCCCCAACAGCTCTGGAGATTCAGATATGCCCATATGTTTACTAACATAGTCTGTCATGTGGCCTCAACATGGTGGCTACTCTGAGGAGGTGAGATAATGATAAGACAGACACTAGTGGAACAGAAAACACAAAACCTTCAGGTTTGATGCTTCAAAGAAGCTGAGAGAATCAAAGCACATGTTCAGTGCAGTTCTTGACAGTGTTGTGATGTTTCATTG